AAAATCAATGACAGAAGAAAATAACTGGAGGGGTTACGCGAAAACTACCCCATCACCAGAGGCGACGACTGGAATAGTTTTTTTTATTAATAATTTCTTATTATTTTTATAAATTGTCAGCACACGGGAATGACTATAATTTTGTAACCTAGAATTCCTAGATCAGTGTTCCCCAACCCGTAAAGTAAGAAAGGAAAATTTCTTCGCCATGATACATTTATAGAATGTAGTAATGAGGCCCCTGTTATTGTTAATTATCCGAAATTTCGGGGGAAATAATGGCAGTCAAAATTACCTGAGAAAAAATAAAAGTAGGCTTTTCTTCTTATTACAGTTTACGCTTCAGACATATGTTCACCCGTCTGATATACATTTTTTTTAGATTTAAATCTGAGGAGCCTTTCTGTAGAAGCCATTTAAATTTTTTTTTTAAACATTCCAATTTATAGCTGCTCATTAGTTCTTTACTTATATTTTTAATACAAGTTTGTTTTGAGCATTTTATGGCAGGAATTCGAAAATTTTTCCCTGGTCTTCAAAAATTGTATGGAACTTTGCTGGTTCGCAGAAAATGTTACGACAATTTGGTGGTCCGCAAAATATTTTATTAAAATTTGCCGGTCCGCGAGCAAAAAAAGGTTGGGGAACACTGGCCTAGATCGTCTTTTGTCCAACATTATTGCATTTTTTATTCTGCTACGGTATTAAATTTTTGAAGAGGCATTTGCAAGGCATTCTTCTTCTCAGCATCAGATGATTCTGCATAGTAATTTTTCATCACATCAAAAAATTAGTCCTAATAAATTCCTATTTGTAGGAGATATATTAAGACTTTCTTTGCACTGAAAAATTAACTGGTTCAAGATTACGTCATGCGTTATTCTTTGTCGTCCGAGATTCACTGATGAAACCCAGCGCTGAAAAATGTTTTTCTGACAATTTTTTAAAGGAAAAATTTAATATAAAACTAGGTATTCCTGGAGAATAGTAAAACATAATTTTTGTAAATTCAAAATAACATGCAGATCACAGCAATGCCTTGAACAACGGCGACGATCTTCAAAATATTTCATTTTTCGAATACCAGAGACGCATTCGACAGAAAACTTCTGTCAAAGTTTTGCTGTAGTGTAGTTCTACTCCTTATTAGCCAACGTTTCAAGCAAAATTGTATGACGGTATGCCTCTTTTTATGTTCAAACAATATAAAGGTGACAAAAATTACGAACTCGTTTTTTGTGAAAAACAGCCATTGGATGCGCATCATCCACGTCTAATTGTGCGTGCGTAAAGGAAGTTTCACTTCAATACTTGTAGTTTAAATCCAGAAAATTGTAAAAAAAAAAATGTTGGTTTTTTTTTCCTTTTCAGGTCGACCGACTGCCGAAGAATTCGTCGGCCGGCCGGCAGCAATTTCAACGAGACCGACCCATGCTTGGACTCACCCGAAATCAGCCCAGTGGAATTACCCGGCGACGAAGGGTCAGCGGGGTTGCAGTCACTGAGAGGCCCGTATCAGGTCGTGTCAACGTTGGATGAGCCCGACGGCAATTTCTTAAAGACTGCCAAAGTGGATGCTTGCGGCCGACTTTGGGTTGGCAGCTCTGGAAGGCAAAATGGAGACCAGGTTGGCTGTGTTTTCGGTGCTGGGACTGCCAAGGTTTACGGGGTTTCCTGGTCCAGAAGACTTTTACCCAAGGTGAATGAATGAACAGAAAGAATTCGTCTTTCGGAAAGAAAGAAATCTTTCCCCTTTTCAGCGTTCACAAAGTTCGATCAACATTCCAACATCCAAACCCCCTCCCCACCCAACCCAAATCCATTCAAAGGCATTCAATCACTTCAGAATGGGAAACAGAGAAAAAAAAGCTGTATATGGATACCAAAATAAAAGAAAATACATTCCACCATGTAAAACTGCACAACTGATTGTGTATTCGTACACCCCTTGTTTCTCTGACATTGGAAACAAAATATCAGTAACAAGAATTACAGCATAAGCCAGATTTATAGCAATTGCAGCATTTACTGAACCCAATTTAAAACACGAGGTTTTTTAGCCTGATCCTGGTAGTACATGCAAATTACTTTGCGTAATTTGCATGTATTATTGCCTTTATTCAGAAAAATACATCGTTTTATTGTGTTTATTGTGCTACTTTAAAAATATTAATCGGATGATCGACTTTTGGATTACGCTTGCACAACATTATTTTATTAAAGTAAAATTCCAAGACACCTCAACTTTTCCGATTTCAGAGCGCTTTCAATGCAATTTTCCAACTTTCACCCAAGCGACTCCAAAATTTCGATTAATACCTGGATTGAGATTTTTCTAAAGAATTTTCTCTTTTTTTTTTGCGTGGAAATAAGATAAAAATAAAAGATGAGGCTTCACGCGAATAAATATTATAAATATCCTACCCTATATATATAGTCCCACAAGAACTTGTTGAATAAATACGATTTTTCAACGTGTCTTTGCCAATATTATTTCTCCTGAATTGCGGTCAATTAATTAAATGGATTTGTATGCGGGCAAGCAGAATGTAAATCGCCCGAAATAATATTGTTTTAATTTAAATTATCTGTAACCAGCTGCAGTTGGCTTCAGAGACTGACTAATGATTCAAATTCCTTAAGAAGTCGGTATTCGAAGAATTGGTGACAATTTTTCATTAATTTTTCTACTTTTAATCAAATAGAACTACAATTGCCTGTATACGCAAATGAAAACGCAGAAGTCGTCTCCAGGAACCTAAAATAAATTACAGATGTCAGGAATACAATTCTAGTCATTGTTTTGCTGATATTCTTTTAATTCTGCCAGGAAATCGAGAACTGTAATTGTCAATCAATGAGCATTTTCACGAAAGGAGAGCTTAACTTGGATTTTTTTTTGTTTGTCAAAAACCCAATAATCAAGCTTCCGTGATTTTACATTACCGGACCAATATCAGAATAAATGTTGCCTATTTTATTCGCCTTTTTGAAAAAAACTGAATGCCATTTTCCCTGCAGATTCCCGGGCTTAGTCAAACTTCAGGGATGGCCTGGGCTCCGGACGACAGAACGTTGTACATGATCGATTCTGCAGAGACCTGCGTATTTGCATACGATTATCACGCTAAAACTGGTTCTCTGGCGAATCCTCGGGCGATTTTCGACGCATCTAAATTTGGCAATGGAGGTTTAGTACACTCCTTGTGTTCTTATTTGATATACGAGTGCTTTTTGTATGCGTTAGTAAAATCGAAAAATTCCCAAGGTGGATTGAAAGGTAAAAAAAATTCACACACCATGTTCGCGCATCTTTTTTTTTTAATTGAAAATTCAAAGGCAGAAAAGATACATTCGCGTGAAAAGGCAACTTTTTTAACGTAATCGTACCGTAAATCATTAAACCAGTGATATAAATTAAATGTGAGTTCCTGACCCTGATGCTGTAAAGGTGAAAATAATGAGCAGGAAATTTTGTCTGGCACCGATCTTCTTGCAATGCTTTGTTACCGTAGTTTATTAAATTCCAAATAATTTTGTTTTGCATTCTTAGTTTCGTTAAATTTCCACAGTCAAATCATAAGCTGGGGCCTCTATGAAACTAAAAATAAAGAAAAATATCGCATTCCACCAGTTATCATTACTGGTAATAGTGGTAATCCATATAATCAGCAATACCATCAGCAATACTGTAAACATCCGGGGCCCCGAGATACGGACGTAAATGATGCGTTGACCTTGCCACTATGATGATCACATTTTCCCGTAGACTTAAACGGGAACATGTTTGATTAGTTTCCCTGTTCAATACTAGTTATGAAGCCCCCTAACATTTTTATAATTTTTCATCAACTTTGATACAGAAAATAACTTCATCTTGGAAGAAACCCACCCAGAATTTGATCTTCTGGCATCAGAAGAGAGTTCAAGAAGCGAAGTGGCAAAAGTCTTGCTTTACTGTGAACAGATAATGGATGAAAAGCTTGAAAATTGATCACAAAATTTGAATGTTTTTGATTATTTGATTAGAGTAATTTTATAAAGAAATTTATTTTTTCATTTTTGAATACAGTATATAAATAGCGCAATTGTTCAAGAGATATAAAAATGTCGAAAAATTGTTTCCTCCTTTCCATAGAGGTGTTGGAAAATTATTTTGAGACATTGTCCGGATGTCGTCAGGACCGATGTTTTTAGTTTCAACTCAAGTGTCCTTAATTCGAATCGTCTGTATGTCGGGGTCCCACACTGTAGTCAGCAAGCCCTGTCATATATACTGAACAGGATATCAGGAATATACATTATGGAATAAACCCTAACCTGTCTTTTATTTGCATTCTCAGTGGCACTGCACGGGATGACCATTGACAATGATGGGTATTTGTACATTGGCATATATGGCCTCGGGCGGGTGATTATTGTGGATCCGGAGAGTCACCAGCTCGTGGGCTATGTTTGCCTGCCGACCCCGTACGTGACGGGTGTGACTTGGGGAGGAGAAGCTTTGGACACGCTTTATGTGACGTCAGCTGCCAGACAGGCGGACTTGACCTCGCATCCGACCTCTGGGAGCTTGTTTCAAGTCACCGACCTGGACGCCAAGGGTTTCAGGAACCTCAAAGCCCACCTCGTGGTTTAATGTTTTCTTAATACTATGCGTAATTATCCCGTTTTCTGTTACGAGTCTCTCCGTTTTCTTTTTTCTTGTCTTAA